TTTCATATTTAAGTGAAGTAACGCAAAAAGTTGTCATTAATAGTATGAGTTCTTCCAGGTCGATTGTACAAATGGGCGTGCCTCAAGGCTCAATTCTCTGCCCCAAATTTTCAAATTAAAACGACAGTTATTAAATTACGACGAAGTAAATAATGCTACAGCTAAGTTAGTCAATTGGTTTAATGTTAATAATTTGCATTTGAATGGAACTAAAACTAAATGTATGAAATTCGTAACACCTAATGTTAAACATATCAATACTAATGTAATTTTAAATGGGGAGGAACTGAGTCTTGTTGATACCACCATTTTTCTTGGAATCAAACTGGACGCAAAGCTTCAATGGCTCCCCCATATATCAAAACTAGCTAGCAGACTTAGTTCTGCAGCATATGCTGTAAAAAAGATTAGAACTCTCACCAGTGTTGAAACAGCTAGAATAGTATACTTTAGTTATTTCCATAGCATTATGTCGTATGGTATTTTGCTATGAGGACACGCGACTGACACTGAAATTATATTTATTTTACAGAAGAGGGCCATTAGACCAATATATAATTTAAAACCAAAAGAGTCACTGAGACAAAAATTTAAGGAAATTAATATATTAACTCTGGCCTCTCAAAATACATTTATGAAAATGTAATTTACGTACACAAGAATAAACGTAGTTTTGCAAAAATAAGTGATATTCATTCTGTAAATACTAGGAATAGACACAATTTAGTAGTACCAGTTACTCGACTCCACCGAGTCAGTAATTTATTCTTGGGGCGATGTATACGCTTTTGCAACAAAATCTCAGAAAATATACAAAATTTGTCATACGCAAAGTTCAAAAATTTTATTAAACTAAGTTTGTATAAAAAGGGTTATTATAATATTAATTAATTTATGGATGATAGTAACCCCTGGGAAGGGTGATCGCTACCAAGCTATTTCTAATTTGTCTTGTGTTGTTAATTGTAAATATGATTGTAAGCTATTATTGGAAAAAAATAGTTCCGCTGGGTTTCTTGCTGGTTCTTCCCAGGACAGAGGTTTTTTTTTTGCGAACCAGTGGTAAATGAAAAAGTGACTTTCAGTAAGTATTGTTATAATCTACATTGAATAAAAAAAATTCTGTTTCTGTAACTTCCCCTAATACTTTATTCAGGCTTAGGACTGACTACATTAAATGTATTTATGATTGATTTGTGTTTACTATGAAACTAAGATTCTTATAAAATTATTTATGCTGGTGTATTTACGAGTCAATTTGATTGTATATACTATGATTATTGATATTTATAGTTTATTTACACTTTTTCAACGTTTTTCACACTAATTATATTTATATAATAACATTAACGTTACATTAAATGTACATAAAATACAAAAATAACATATAGATGTTAATTTTTACAAGAGAGTACTTAACATTATACACAAGTACAACGATGAACTAAAACATACTAAATTATTTTACTTAAATTCAATGTGACCCACGCTTTCCGGCATCGCAAACCGTTGAAACTATTTACAAACAGAGATCACTCTATTTTATTGTCTATTTCTATAGTCTTACGTATAAAAATTAAACATACTGTTACGAGCTTAGGGTTCAACTTAGGCGCGCAACAATACAATAACACTGTTACATACGCTGTTTTGTTTATTGTTGTATGCCACAACATGTGCGCTTTGCGCTCGACCGACCGATAGTCGACACTCGCAACAATCACAGTTAACAGTAATAAGTAATAACGCATTTACAAAAATCACTACTTGTAATATTACTCGAAACTAGTGATTCGGATACATGCCGCGTAGCCAGTTATTGCATTTATTGTAACTAGTGACGTGAAATAACACCCACGTCTATTGGCAACACTCAGCGTTGTCATTTACACGGCAATTGCCATGTTACACGGCAATTTTGGTCTATTCAACAATAAAACACGGTACACGGCAGCATATTAATTGCCGTGTTCTAAAACAAGGCAATCCAATAGTTACTAATTTTTTCCGAAAATTTTATCGGTAGTCGATAAGTCATTACAACGCACATCACTAGACTATACTAGACGTAGTCATGACTCTATGAGCGGAGAAATCCAGACGCGAATTCAACATATGTACATTCGCGCACACTTCATGGTTTATTCATTTCATTCTTTCGTTTTTTGAAAAGGTACATTAAAGATATACTGCTGTTTATTTACTTTGTTTAACTTTACTAGCTAATCACTTTATTCGCTCCCAAAGAAATTGTGTAAATTTCAAACCAATAACACAAACGATAGAAAATATGAAGGAAAATAATAAATATAAATTGAACAAAGACGAAGAAAAAGTTTTGGATACGATAAGAAATTTGTATGATGAAGAGTAATGTTTTCATGTCATGTTTAATCTTACATGTTAAATAAATAAAAATGGACACGGCAATTTTCTAGTTTTTATTCCAAAACACGGCAAAACAGATCTCAAAACACAGCAACTTAAAATTTCGAAATGGCAACACTGGTCTACGATGCAAACGGTTGAAAGTCGCAACAATTCAAAAACTCAACTCAAATGTTTGTTTTACATAGTTTGTTTATTAGTTCAGTTATTCAATATTCAGTAATTATTTAAATGTGTAAAGTACTTAATTCTTAATATTAGCATTTATTATTGACCGGAACGATTTAAGGCTTACATAAAAGTCAAAGACTACAAAATTCTATTTAGAATTCGGGTATGTATGTAAAATTGCGGTGCCACCCCCATATTTTCACACACCCCGTTAATTCCACCTAAAACGGAATAATGAATAGCAGCGAGTAGAACTAAATTAAGCATCCATTAAAATTTGTTACTGTGCAGTTGTGTTACTGTTCTTTGAAGTGAATAAGTGTAAGTGAAATCATAGGTATTATATCGGAGAGTAAATTTTAGCTTAGCTAAATCGTTTACCAATTTTTGGTTAAATTCTAAATCCTTGCTTTACAAATTGTTAAATTTACAGATCCAGTTTATTTTATTTTTAGGTATGTATTCAATTGTGGCTAAGGGGATATACCACGCTCAAAAAGTAATCACTATGTTTATGCACGCTGAGCATCAGACTTACGAATAATATTTATTTTTTTAACATTCCATTAGACATGAACACAGGTCAGGATCATCGAATGCTTGATTGACGTTCGACGACAATATTTTATATGTGGTAGAGCCATGCTGCAGCTATATTATGGTTGTAGCACGAATGGGTTGAGCCATTTTGTGGAATCTCAAGAAGCCTAGCCCGATTGTCCGTTGAAACTATCACAATAAATCACTTAGGATCTGGTGTGACACACCGGGCTTAAAACATTCTAAAACCTTAATCTGGGCCTTTGATGGTAAATTCGCTTCAGAAGCCCTGGGATTAAGTAAAAATAATTTGTGCATTCTGGCAAGAGCCCTAACAGGACATTGTTGTCTTAAAAAGCACATGTCCATCCTGGGACTAAGCAACTCACGGATGTATCGGTTCTGTTCCATAATGAAAAAAACGCCTCTGTACATCCTAACTGGCTGTGGACCCTTAATGCACAAACATAACACTCATCTGGGAAGCTATGTACTCCGCCCAGAAGAAGTGAAATTGCTCACGGCTAAGCAAACCCTTCTATTTATTGAGGACATAGGGCTTAGCAATGAACATTAGCTATAGCAGCGATCACAATAAATCTTTTAGATCTCAGTGATACTGGTCTCCTTACCTAGACCTGCATAGCTGCTCGTACATAATAAAAAAACAATAGGTACCAGTAATTTTATACTTTGTAACTGGAATTTGCTACATAATGATGGCAGCCCCTACAGTTCTGCAGCACCAGTGCAGTTGCAATTCTTAGTTGCTAATATGTTTTATGTTTAACAATCGAAATTTCAAACAGTGGCTTTAAATATCAATTTCTGTATTTAATCAACAGTCAGAAAGTCCACTGCATCTAGGGTGCAAGGGTGTATTGCAATTAAACTTTAAAGTAGCCTAAATCAAAATATTGACTATGTCCCAATTTAAATAAAATGATTGTTATGTGTCAATAAACACTTGAGGAACAAAGAATATTCCTTTGGATAATCCCTGTAAGGGAGAATTAACCATAATTGTCACATTTGGTAAGCATATTACAATCTCTATGCCATGTGAGATGGTTCATCTTTTGGAAGCCTTAAAATTGGGTAATCAATTCTCTTATGCTGCAATATCATAGTACAAACATTTGGAGTTGCTATTTGGTAAATTTTATGTAAAGTAATTATATATTTGTTATAATAACAAAATTTAACAACAACAAAAGCAATAACAAAATCAACTCAGATTTGGACCACATAGCCAATTGGTGTGATCAAAATAATCTGGTATTGAACCCCATTAAATCGAAGTATATGTTACTGGGAATGCATAACCAGACAAATAATATTCTAACTTTCAATCCGTAAATTAACATCATGACTACTCCTTTAGAATGTGTGTTGGAAGCTCGGAACTTGGGTCTCGTTATGGACGCAAGGTTGCGTTTTGAGGGTCATGTACAAGAAACCATGCATAACTGTTTCTATAGACTCAAAGTCTTGTACCAGATCAGAGAGTATTTGACGGTGGACATGCGCATTAGGTTGTGTGAAGCACTCATTCTGTCAAAGCTAACCTATGCAGATACCGTATTTGGAGAATGTTTGCTCACTAGAACCTACATATAACTTCAAATTAATACAAAGAGTTCAAAATGCCTGCGCATCACCCCATTTTTAAATCGACATGTCCTGATGACTATGGCTGCTCAAATTTGTGGAGACTATTTGGTTGCATATTATGTTATTCCCTTTTTTTAAAATATTTTTGTTAAAATATAAAAAACTGTTATACTTAATTTATTATTTTTGATATAATGTATCAAATAAATTATTTCTCACTTTCTTTCTATAATTATAATAATATTTATTTTCTGAACTCTATTTGTTTCAGACTTTATAAATAAAACATGCCACGTACAAGAATACCATCCCCTGCTCGCTCACAAGGTGTTATAAGTACACCAAGAAAACATAAGTTTCGAGGTTCTTCCAGTGTTGGATCTCCAGCTAGGTCCAACGCCTCAGTAAAACTTTCATCTATAGTTCAGGAACATAAAATGAACTCATTTGTATTATCTCCTCTCAGAAGAAGGAGATCTGTGTTATCAGACAATACAGATATTGAAGTACCAGGACGTAAGTATTTTACTTCTTTCTATTCCAGTGTTATATTTTATATGTAATGTGCACTTAATGTCAGAAGTTCTGGATTCAATAATGGAGTGGAGCCAATTTTTACAAAAACTCAAATTTGAAGTTTTCAGATTACTTATACAATTGTTCATATATTAATTTATGAATTCATCACATTCATTTATCAGTTAAATAAAACTGAATTTTATATAATAGTGGCCTACTTGCTCTGCAGCTATTTTGTAGTTGTATATCAATATAAGTAAAATAGCAGCTCAATGCTGATGTTTTCATATGTGAGTGAGAGAACCAGAGAGTCTTTTTTCGAAATCAGCTATTCCATCTTAGTCCTCAGGGGTGACAATGCATCTGCATTTTGTTTCTTAATCAAGGATAGACATAGATTGCTATGAGCCACAGCATCTACAACATCGGGTGAGCTTTGTGCTTGTTTGTCACCATTGTTCTAAAAACAAGAAAGATATTTGGCATAGTTTCCACACTTGCAATAGCAGTTCTTTATTCAAGCTGGAATCATTTGGATTGAGTTTAAAAGTTATAGCTACCCATCTTGTTTAGTTTCACTCTGTCTGTCTTACAGTACCCACAAGATAAAATGGGGTAGTAGATATTTTACGCCATCACTGTTTATTTATTTATATATGGTTAGATAAACTAAAATTTATTTATTTATTTACATCTAACTTATATCTAACATTACATGTTTCTGCTCACTGTGATAGATAAAGCACTATTTACAATCCTATATTGCCTTATAGATAATTATATTTTAAATAGTTTGCATAATAAAGTAACTTACATTTAAAACTTTGATGGCTTGGTTGTTCCATGAAGATATCACATAATACAGGAGAAATACCAAAAATGGAGGCAATTTTTTAACAAAAAATCTTATTTGGAAATATTGTTTCCTCATAAAAATCTTAATAATTTCCATTAACATTACCACCAAACAAGTTTTAAAACTAGTTACATAATATGTATATTATATATTTTTAGTATTTGTTACTTCATAAATCATGGCCATCTAGACTACAATTTCAAATTCTTTTGGATTGACAAGTAATTTACCTTTTAAACTGTACAGGTAATAGTTGGTGGAAGACGCTTGAGGAGAACTCAAGGGATGTGATGGAGATTTTAGATAATAAACAAACAGACCAAGGTGTAAACTTAGAGGAATATATTGATGCCGACATTTTGAGGTACTTAGTACAAAAATATTTAAACTTGAAGCTTGGTAAATTCTTCTAATATTACTTATAAGTTACAGCCACTTTTTTATTTGAATTTGCTGTCTAATGTCTGCTGATGTTAACTTTGTTGTGTTTGTGTGTTATGTTAATTGTCAACAAAAACCAGAATGACTGGTGGCATTGTTACTTAGTAACTGCAGTATTTTCTTATAACACTACCCCTCATACCACTACTACATATACACACCCTATGAACTATATATGGGCGTAAACCAATAATGCCCAATTCTTTATATAATACGAGCAATGATACAACTTATCGTGAATACATCCGCGAATTACAATATTGCATGAATTTTAGTCTACATATTAAACCAACAAATTTCAATGCTTGTACGAGGGTGGATTGAAAAGTACTTGGCCTAACACAGATCCATTCAATTCTAAAAATCAAATCTACCCACATTATTTAGTTCAGTTCAGACTAGTTCATTGTGTGAAGTTCGAAACGTGTGCGATAATTAGTTGTGATTTTATAAATTTATTAACAAAGTAATCGGACATAATTTCCGCGAATGGAGCAAATCGAGCAGCGTGCCGTCATTAAGTACCTCCATAAGAAGGGGCTATCATCAAAAGCCATCCATGATGACATGGTCAGTACATTAGGCGATTGTGCTCTGTCATATTCATCCGTCAAAAAATGGATAGCAGAATTTAAGCATGGTAGAGAGAGTGTGAAAGATGAACCCCGCTCTGGAAGGCCTTCGACGTCAACTACTGACAAAAATATTAAAAAAGTACTTGATTTAATAATGGGAGACCGCAGATTAAAAATTAGAGAGATAGCCAAGATTATAGGCATCTCTTATGAATGAACTCAAAACATCATTGTCTACGAGTTGGGTTTCCACAAGGTGTCTGCGAGGTGGGTTCCGCGACTGATTTCAGTTGAACAAAAAAGGACGCGATTGACTATTTCACGCGACTGTTTGGAGTTATTTGAAGCCGATGCAGATGATTTTTTGAATCGTTTTGTTACTATGGACGAAACATGGGTTCATTACTGTACACCGGAAACAAAACAACAATCAAAACAGTGGAGAAGACCTGGTTCACCACCCCCTAAAAAAGGCTAAGTCGATTTTGTCGGCAAATAAGGTGATGGCTTCAGTATTCTGGGACTCGAAAGGTGTGATTATGATTGATTATCTTGAAAGGGGTCAGACTATAAACTCTGATTACTACTGCACCTTACTACGTCGTTTACGAGAGGAAATAAAAGAAAAACGTCGAGGAATGCTCAGAAGAAAAGTCCTGTTTCATCAAGATAACGGCCGTGTTCACACGTCAGTACAGTCAATGGCTGAAATTCACAACTGTGGCTTTGAACTGTTACCGCATCCGCCGTATTCACCTGATCTGGCACCATCAGACTTCTTTCTGTTCCCTAACCTAAAAAAGCACTTGGGAGGTCAAAGATTTTCGACAAACGACGAGGTCAAAGCAGCTGTAGACGCATATTTTGAATCTAAGGAAGAATCATTTTTTTTTTCAACGGTCTAAATGCTTGGAAGGGGAGGTGGCAAAAGTGTATTGAACTTGATGGTGATTATGTAGAAAAATAAAAATATAACTGATTTAGTATGTGTTTATTTTCTTGGTTAGGCCGAGTATTTTTCAATCCACCCTCGTACTATATAAAAATGATCATCTGATGTAATGGTATTATGATAACTTCTGTCTAATTGCCGTTACAGCCTATTAAGAGTCTACTGCAGAACATAGGCTTCATATAGCATATTTGCCGTAGTTTTCCATGCTTAGCAGGCCGGTTAGTAACTACACTTTTTTTAATTTGTTATTTGGAAGACGTTACTGGCCATCATCTGATTTGTTTCCCTCTGTGGCATGAAATGGATATTTTTACACCAATAAGTAATAAATTAATTAATATATCAATCATATTAATTTAACAATGCATATTAACAATGCATGTTAGTTAATTCAAAATATATAGGCAGTTTGTGTTCTTTCAAAATATCTAAAAACAGTGTTAGGCATTCTATGATAAGTTATTATTTTTTTTATATAGGATAGGATGACGAACGAGCACACAGCCCATCTGATGGTAATTGGTTGCGGTGGCCCATAAACCTTTACATCTATCCTCGATTACTAGTCAAAATGCAGATGCATTGTCATCCGTGAGGACTTAGGTTGAATGCCTCGTTTCCAGTAAAAAGGGTCTCTGGTTCTCTACACTCACCATACGAAACACAGCAGCATTAAACTACTATTTGATGCTGGTATTATGTGAGAGTGTGGTCCTTCCCCGGTCAAGCCGACACATTCATGCTGCAACTATAATACTAATATAACTACAGCATAGCTCTACCACGTAAAAAGCTTAGCTTAAAAAAGTTGCTTCACTTTCAGCAAAAAATGATATATACAGACACTGTTACAGAATATAAATATGATACATTACAAACATTGGGATAGGAAGTAAAGAGTAAAGTACAGTCTACATTTCATGAATATATGATTGTTTTAGTTTACCAGTGTGGTACCATGCTAGTTTTATCACAACTTTTCTTACCCGCCAAAGATGTAGTCAATCAGCACTTAAAATTGTAATAACTAATAACATTGAAACACTGAACCAGGCCTCCAAAGTCTTTACCAGAGATCTGTCTGCCTTCATTATTATCATGATTATCATAACAGCCCTTCACAACTCCACTGCTGAACATAGACCTTCCCCAAGGTATGCTACAAAGCATGGTCCTGAGCCACCTGCATGCCTTACCTGGTCATCACTCTAACTAATCTAGTAGGGGGCCACTCCACACTTTTCCTACAAAAATGAGGCGGCTACTCGAGAACCTTGCTTCCCCATCTGTTGTTGTTTCTTCGAGCTATATAGCCTGCCCATTGCCACTTCGGCATACTTATCCATTGGGCTATGTTAGTTACTCTGGTACTACTGCAGATATCCTCAGTTCTAAGTTTATCACACAGAGAAACCCCGAGCATAGCCCGCTGAGCGATAATCTTCCTCATAAAACCAGCAGTTAAAAACCACATCTCAGATACAAAGGTGATCACTGGCAACTGGTATTACAATCTAGTTTTGAGGTATACCTGATGAGAAGATGACTGTGTCGTAATCTCCCGAACACTGCCATGCTGAGTTGAATCCATCAATTGATCTCTTAGTTGAAGTTAGACTTACCTAGTAAGACTATTTGTCCCAGGTAAACATACTCGTCAACAACTGAGCCTAGTGCTCCCGACAACTACCAACATAGGTGTGACCTGGTTGTTACAAATGAATTTTGTTAACTTAGTGTAAACTGTCAACCCAGTGAAAAGTTATTGTAATGGGTCCGATTTTGCAAATTGGAAATTTTAACATATCTCCACGTTTCAAGGTCTTTAGAGTCGAATAGTATGGTTTTTAAGAGGGATGTCCGTGTGTGCACATGTACGTATGTATGTATGTATGTATGTTCGGATTAAATTTTCGCCTCGTGTATCTCGAGAACAAAGAGTGGTATTGACATGGGGCCAGTTTCATTTAATGCATAATTATATAATATAGACCTCATTAAATTTTGAGCAAAATCAGTCAAGTCATTTTTTGTGCCGAATGAAAAATTGTATATAATATAAAAACATTCGATATTTTTTTATTCTTTCCACTGTGAAATTAGTCGTGTGGACCTTCCTGGTCGCACCTAGACCGCTTTCATAATTTTTTTGTCCATGTTTATCTTAAGACCTATATCCATTGGCAGACACTGTCATTGAGCATAGTGCTTAGGGCCTCCAGCGATTCTGCCATAAGGACTATATCGAAGGTGAGTGATGTACTCACCATTGATGTTAATACCGTATCTTCTCCAGTCCAGTAGCTTGAAAATGTCTTACAATGCAGCAGTGAAAAGTTTCGGGGATATTACGTCACCCTTTCTTAAACCTCTCTCCAGTTGGATAGGTTTCGTACTCTGGTTCTGCATTCGGATAGCCATCGTTGCCCTACTGTACAAACACTTCAGCACTTCTATATACTGACAGTTAACTTTGTACCGCTGAAGGGTCTGCAGTACTACCCTAATTTTGACGGAATCAAAGGCTTTCTCATAGTTCACATACGCAAGACGAAGTCGCAGATTGTATGTACTCTTCGGTCTTATTTACAATTTCCCAAAGGGTATGTATGTGGTTTGTGGTGCTGAAGCCTTTTCAGAAACCGGCTTGTTTGGCAGGCAGAAAGTCGATTTTTGGGAGTCGAGACGAATCGTAATGGCTCTCGAAAACAGGACGTAGACGCGGCTCAGAAGGAAAATTGGTCTGTAGTTCTTTAAGAGAGAGTCGTCGCCTTTCTTGAGGAACAAGAGCTTCTGAGTTCCTAATTCATCATTGTCCGGTACCTTGCCTTTCTTATAGAAAGCCATACTAATCACTTCAGATTAACGTCCTGGATATCATCGGAATAGTGTCGGATAATACTTGCTCTTGGATCGTTAGTAAGTGTGACACTTGCGTGAGGCTCCAACGATGACATGTACAGCTGCTCATAGAACCTCTCAATCTCATTAAAAATCTCAGGTGTCCTGGAAACGATGCTGCCGTATTCGGCCTTCAGCTTCGATAGTTGGCTCTTTCTTGCAGAAAGATCTCTGGCAAAGACTTTGGAGCCCTGGTTCCGCTCGCTCAATCGCTTCTTTAGTACGAGCTGTATTGAAGTTGCGTAAATCCCGCCGCATGTATTTGAAGATCTGTCTGTTAGTTGCCTGTATGCTGTCAAATCTGCTGAAGACTGTCGCTTCAATTCCCGTCTATCAGTCATGAGCTTAAGTGTGTGATCACAGAGTTTTATGGTTTTCTGCGAGGAGTCTTACAGAACTTGAAATAATACTAGTGTTTTACGGAATTTATCGCGTGTATTTAACTTTTTAATTACCCGACGTTTCGAACGCTCTTGACAGCACTCACTGGTCAAAGTAACGGGCGCTTCTAAAGGAGCTCATCACAGTCCCTCAATGGGTACGTTAACATTGATTTAGCTCATATTCTCTTTGCCTATTTAACTGAGAATTCAGAGCAATGGTTATGTCGTTTTTACCATTTTATTTAATAATTTTTAATTATATTTTACATTTAATATAGTAAAATCTTTATTGTTACAGTCAGGAAAAAAAAAATTACACAGTCGATTTGCCAGAAAGTAGTGATGCAGAATCAATAAGCAGCATTGTTATACCCCAAAGGAAACTTTTTACACAAAAAGATAGTCAAACGGTGAAAGTATTTGGTCAAATAATGGACAATAGAGAAAGCCTGGCACAACTCCATCAGAGCAAAATTAACTATGATAAAACTATTAATGTTGGTAAAAAAGATTTATTTAACAGGGGTGCAAAAGAACGCAGCAAACCTGTATTTCCTGTCGGGCTGTTCAATGTTTCTCTCAACAAAACGTTACCTAATAAAAGTAAAGAAATTGCAAATCATGGCCAGGCAAGAAATCTATTTGGAAACCGAGCAGGCGCTAAACGCAAAAATATATTTGCTGAATTTGTTGGACCAGAAAGCGAAGATGACATTCCTGATATTCAACCAAAAGTTTTTGGATTTTCTAAAAACAATGAAAATCAGCAACAAAAAAATTTAACCCCACATGAACCTCGAGAAACTTCACCTACTTCTGATATAACTGATATAGAAATTGATGAATGGAAACTTTTACCATCATCTACGATGGTTGATAACCAATTTGGTAATATTGAAGGAAGCACTCCTGTGAAAAGAAGGAAGTTAAACAAGCTAAGTAAAGCTACAGAACCTATAAAAGAATGTAGTAGCAATGCATTCAACAGAACAAAACAATCAACAGGGTCCAAAATTTCGAAATTCAGAAATGGCGAAGAATTTATTGAATTATCACATCCTGAACTCCATAATAACAATTCCAAACAAAAACACAAAGAAAAAAATAATTCTAACATTAATTTGACAAAAAATAATGATCCTAAGAATCGAGATAATATTAAGGAAGCTGCTAGCAGTAGTAAAAGTTTTACAAAACAAAGTGACATGGATAAAATACAGTATAACCTAAGGATGAACAAAAATAAGTCAAATATTACAGAAATTGAAGACTTGACACAAGACAAAGTTTCAGAAGAAATACAAAATGATGAAGACGATGACAATGACTTCATTTTGCAATACGAAAATGATGACCTTAACCTACACGAAGCTGACCAAGAAAATGTAAATAATAAGAGTCTAATACATCAACAACAAAGCAATACCAGCAATTTAAATAAACACAATGAGAAAAATACAATCTTAGATAAAAATAAATCTCATGTAAAAGCTTCAGATAGTTCGCTAAAACTATCTAGTTCATTCCAATTGAAGAATGCTAACGCTAAGTTAAAAGAACAAATCAGTGGTAGTAAAAGCGTTTCAAAAAATATTTCACTAACTAAAAATGTTAGTAATTATTCTGTCACCCGAGAAATAAATGATAATCTACAAATTGAAGAAAAACTTGAATGTAATAATAAACAAAATACAAACAATTGTAATAGAAGAAATGAAAATCAAATTGTTACTTTACCACTAACAGATGAAAAAATAAAAAAAGGACTAGCCAAACATGAACTGCATAATAATGAAAAAAAAATTACATCCTCCGAGGAGATACTAGTAGAAAAAGATGAAATAGATTTAGCCAAAAACGTAGTTGTACAAAAACACAATAGGAGTAATGATAATAATAATACCAAGATTTTTTTTAAAATAAGTAATACATATGAACTGGATGTAGATCAAAAACAAGAGAATGTATATAACAAAGTTGAAGCTAGCCCTAGAATTTCACAAAAAGAAAATGAAGATAATGTAAACGATAATAATTATGAATATGTTAAAAATATTGTGGGTTATCAAACAGAAAATCAAGTAATTGGTGATGAAGTTAATAAAGAAAATAACGACGAAGATAAAAGGATTCAGGAAGGAAGTGACGAAGAGATAATGGAAGAAAATGATGAAGAGGTACAGCAACAAAATGACGAAATGATTCAAGACGAATATAATGAAGAGAATGAGGAAGAAAATTACGAAGAGATTCAGGTAGAGAATGACGAAGAGATTCAGAAAGAAAATGATGTAGATGTTCAGCAAGTATATGACGAAAATAATGAAGAAATTCAGGAAGACCTTCAGCCTACCTACGAAGATATTCAGATAGAAAATAACGAAACGGTTCAGAAGACAGTAAATGAGCATGAAGATGATAGAAATCGAGTAGATACCGAGGCAGAATATTTAAGTCAAGAAGTAATAGAAAATTGTATTCATGCGGACGCAGAAGATCAGAATGAAAAAGAAAATCAAAACTATGATATTAATGAGGAACAGAACGAAGGGCAGAATAAAACCGTTAATCATGAAACATTAACAAGTGATAAATATAATCATGGTGTAACTAAGCAGTCAGAGCTGGACTTGGAAACAAAAAATGAATTAATTAGAGGTAAAAATAATTTAGTTATAGATGCAGACAATCATATTGTAAATTCTAATAATACAAAAGACAATAATAAAAGCCGACGTGTAACGCTTAATACAACACACGATAAAACTGGCGGAAACAGACAAAGAATCGAATTAGTCGTTGAATCTCCGGAAGACATTTTGCATTATGTACCAACTGAAGGGGTATCATTTTCGTCAAAAGGACGCAACTCCAGCATTAGAAAAACTAAAAGCATCCTTAAAACTCAAATCAACATCAAACCTAGTTTAGCACCACTAAGAGAAGGTACGGGAATTTCCGATGAGGAATCCAAAAATTCAAGTGTAGAAAGGTCGGGTTGGGACTCCCATAGAACTACAAGAAAGACTCTTCGTCAAACATTTGGTAAAGATTTCACACCAAGGAAATCTTTGCGTACACTCGTTATGGAAAATTGGGCGAAGGGACAAACCTATGGGCACGATATGACTGTTAAAGTTCCTCAAGCTTGCTCTACTAAATTACCTGAAAACATGGATGTGGACATATCTGAAGATGACGATAATGATGAAATAAATGGCATTAATGAAGAAATCAATGGACCAAAGCAAACAAATATTGCAGAGGAGACAGAAAACACAAAAAGAAATAACCAAAAAAATAGCTCTTACATTTCTCCTTCAATTAATGTAGCAGAACAGGAGAATTCAACTAATGGAGATATACCACGACAGTCATCCGGTATACCCAATGACACAACTGAAGAATCAGATCGTGAAATGTCTAGAATGAGGGGGCAAGCTACCTATGGACACAATATGACTGTTAAAGTTCCTCAAGCTTGCTCTACTAAATTACCTGAAAACCTGTATGTGGACATATCTGAAGATGACGATAACTGTAAAATAAATGGCAATAATGAAGAAATCAATGAACTGGAACAAACAAAAGATGCAGATGACACAGAAAATACAAAACGAAATAGTCAAAGCAATATGAGCTCTTACAACTCTCCCTCAATTGACATATCAGAACAGGATTATTCAACTAATAGAGATATCCCACAACAGTCATCCGCTATGCCCAATGACATCACTGAAGAATCGGATCATGAAATGTCTAGAATTAGGCGACAGGCTACTTTGGCACAGTTTTTCCAGAAGATGAAAGAAAAAAATATGGAGGAGAGACGCCAAGTGGTGAGTATATTTGCTGGGGTCACACAAAACCTTAAGTTTTTATTAATACAATCTATTGCATAATACTGAGAGCTACAAATTAAATTCTCACCATCGCTTAAAGTCCACTGCTGGACATGGACTTCTGTTATAGGAAGAATTTGATATAATTGTCACATATGGCTGGTGGACTGCATTACCATCTTGCATTTCGCATCTTTGACTCTTTCTTCTTTCTTAGATGAAATTAGGCATCTTAGGTTCTGTACGAGACAAAATGGATTCTCCTACACCACCTCCATATACGAAGGACTATGTTGTGTTTGAGTGGATTTCAATAAATATGCTGATTTATTTTTAAAGCACTTTTAACACCCAATATAATAAATAGCCTGTATAAATCCATATACGTACGAATGTCATCTGAAATTTTGCAGATACGGATGTTTCAGATTATTTAGATATTGCAAATATTAAGAAATTATGACAATAGAATAATTTCTTGACTATGAACTAGTATTCTCACTAGGATCATCACAGCTCATGATCAATGTGTGTAGTTTGAATTTTCCTAAAACCCTAGTATTATACTATATAACTACTATATTATTAGCTTGAGCTGTATAAATTAATGTAATGGAATTTTATAATTCTTATTAGTTTGCACTTACTTTTGAACATCTGAATAATCTGAAATTTTGCAGATATATTTATATATATTAAGGATCAATGACAATATAATAATCACACAACTGTGACATAGGTCTCCCTCTATCGGCTCTTTCGACATCCACAGTACAATATGGCATAGTGAATATTATTACACTGCCAAAACGCGGTAAAATAGCAAACAAATAAATAGCGATAAGAATAAAAGCGATAAAAATAGTATATATTTACAATGTAATTATATTTATCAAACATTACTCTGTTTTATTTATAATTTGTCTCTCAGGAAGAAGCCGTGAGAAATTCCCTTAAAGCACCCAGAAGGGAATCCATTGATTTCTTTGATATGCCAGCCAGCCCAAATGCAGCTCTGCGTCGGATCAATATCAAAACTGGACAAACAAATTCAAATGTTAAACAAATTAAATCGACTTTAATACCTACTGAAAATCTACCCGCAGAAGTATTGGAAGACATGAATTACAAACCGCCTCGGAGATATAAACCCAGAAACGCCTCTTGGGTTACAAAGAGGCTATATAAGTTTCTGGAGGATAAATTGGAGCCCAAGTGAGTATTAAAAATAATAATTAGAAGCAGTTGGAAATAGGATGGAAAATTCAAATTTTTTTGAAATAATTCTTAATTGAATACTTTACTTTTTGTCAATTTTGACTGGTGTCTAAAATTCTGTGAAATTTACAAAATATTGTAAAATGTCTTCCCATTGTTGTGCCATGGGGTTTTTAATTCATCTAAGATTAGAGCTAGATTCCCGACCCTAATTTTTCTTTGATCTCATTTCTGATGTGGTCTCAATTAGGTTCGAATTAGGCGCTCTAGCTTATCCAAGTTGCGAGTTTCGACTTTAAAGAGAACATCCAGAACAATCAAAGTGCATGTGGCCTGGCGTGTCGACATATTATTAATTGAACAATCAAACCACCTTTTTTATATTTTGTCAATTATGAAAACCAAGTACCGGTTTTCACGTTCTTCGAAATGTTTGCAATGACTATGGAAACTTCCAAATACCACTGTCTTAGCAACGTAGGGCAAGTTTCACCAGGTAGGGGGCGTTTTTACCCAATTATTGAGAACAAAATAACTTAGAGCAATTGAGCTTCCTTTGCTGCTAAACTACAATCAACATATTCACGTGCAAATTTTAATAGGGTATTTTACACCATGTAAAATATAATCAAAATATACACATTTATGATAGATTTTGTAAAAAGTAAACGAGAAATATTGATTTCTGTTTATAAAATTGCATTATAAATTTTATATTTCAATTATAACAATATTTTTTTTTGTCTGCCTCAAATCTGCAAATCGCTGTCCGCCATGTTAGAGCATGTCGTAACGTCACTGATCGAGCCTAAGGGTATTAGTGTTCTGTGTCACTGATTAAGAGAACTAGCTAATGTGCTGTGTTATATTTCGAAAATTTTCAAGTTACCATTACGATTATTGAGTTTTATTCCGAATTTTATTGAAAAGGTATCATGGAAGACCAATTTGTAAAAGCAGAAAGTACTAATCTACCAAGGATAAATAAATTGATGGTGGCAAAATTTTTTGCATGCAATCCTGCTGCTGATTTTAGGAATGTTGAAACATCAGTGTAAGAACCTGTTACCAACTTTTGTTTATACAAAAACACAATACCAGGTCAAAGTGTCTTTCGATAAAACATAGTTTATTTATTAATATAGTAGCTATCATAGTTCAGTTTATCTATAAATACAATCATTAGCAATAATTAGTTATAATATCTAAGTTAACGTAATTTATTACAAAATTTGACTTGCGATTACCTCATGATGTTTTGTTTTGTATTAAACGGTTGTTAAATATAAGTCATACTTACATCAAAATTATCTTCACAGAAGAATAGTCTGGTTTTGTAGACAATGTATACGGGGATCTTCTTGCCAGTTTTAACCAAGTATTTCTTACATTTAAATACTTGGCACTGAAATCCATAACTTTCCCTGCGTTCTTATGCTCGTATTTTTGCATTCAGGCACAATACAACAATGATTTAGATGACAACTCATTATTAAACTTTAAAAAGTATCTCATAACTCATTATTAAACTTCACCAAATCGAATGACGTCACGAGTTGAACAGCATGGCGGCTAGCGTTTTCAGGCGAAAATTTAAAACGATAGATTAAAAGTAATTTTTATGCACTATTTGGTTTAAAAAAATATATATAAAAATTATAGTGGTTCATTATCACTCTAGGATTAATTTAAAACAATTTTTGTAAATGGGTGAATATCCTATTACGTTAGTCAATGCTAGCTTTTGTAAATACTTTGCTTCCTGCTGTTGTTGAAGACAATTGGCTGCTGAAAATCTCCCCAAAACTGACAGCTCTATTGTGTATACATCTCAGTTCACCTTGAAGATTAAGATTTCGTATTTCACGCGAGGCCTAGATATGGTACTGTGATCCTGCCGAGCATGAAGGTTAACTACATCTCCACAATCTCTACAAAGGAAAAAAGGTGTAAAAGCCTAATAATCCATCTGTGTACTCTTATCGAATTGTAAATGAGCAATGAAATTGTAGAATGAGCTTTGGCGCCCTAATTCTGAAGAGATACGGTCAGCGCAGACCTAAACATAATTTCATATTGTGAAAAATTCGTTAAGTTTAAAAAAGAGTTACCAGCCACTCTCACATTACATTGATTTCAGTTATATGCAAATTTAGCTTGAATTGTTTTTTTTTAAGGGATAATAAGGGTAACAAACGAGCACACAATTTACCTGATGGTAAGTGGATGCTGGAGATCTTAGACGTCTACATCTATCATCGTTTGAAAATCAAATTGCAATCCAAGAGAAGAAAGCCTTTAAAACAACCTTATTAAAGGGAAGACAAAAAGTATAAAATTTTACTCTACGGCGGCTGACCGCTGAGTCTACATCTCCTGAAGATGCCTCGTGTAGAGGCGAAACACGTGTTTTATTATCGTCGATGGTGTGTCTTTCCTGGAATAGTGGTGACGGGATTAGTGCACGCAATTGAGGGAGGGGCGAGAGGTGCTCTTCAATCCAGGTAAGACACATCATTGTATTTAATTAATGCGGATGGTTGTGAATTAGATCTTAATCTTCATTAAAAGTTTAATTGTTGTTGGAAAGGTTTCCTTGCCATCACTCCGCAGGCTTACTGATCGTCATGGATAAAGCTCATGTATCCTACTTTTTCCTATACCATTGTGTCGCGCGTCTCGTATTAATCTTCATTTAAAATTGCAAATAATATTTTGGAAAGGAGAGCCTTATTTATTTTCTTTTAAATATACAATCATAATAATAATAATAATAATTATAATAAATAAGGCGTAGGGAATTGACGACCCCATCGCCCGCTGACGTAACAGTTAAGTGACAAAACTGCTACGTCAACGCAGTCAGTCAGCGCCTTGCGAGAGGTGTGAGCGCCGTGCCGCGGCAGAATTTAGGGTGCAGAGGCCCGTTTGTGCTTATGGCTACACACGAAACGGTGCCGGGCCTGGGCGTCTCCCGTTAATGGACGCCCAAATAATGGATGATGGATAAAAAGATAGTGCGCAAAGGGCCGCTGCCTGGGGGTCGCCGGGGCGCGTCTGGAGCTGGCGCTGGACGCGGCAGCATGCGGGCCGCCAGCCGAGCGCGAGGAGCTGCACGGTCATCTACCAGCCCTCCGCATCCATCGTCCCCACCAGAAGGCTTGGTGTCGGCTGGGTCTTCTCGGACTCAGCAAGCGGCACCCGCCGCTGGTGGAGCACGTCGCATGCGTTGGTCACAAGAAATGAATGCAAACGCACTGCGGGCGTACTTTAGGGCAAAAGGGGAAGAAACTGGATGTTTGGCGTATCGGGCTAGGATGCATCGTCTTTTTGCTGAGCTGGAGCCATCTTTAATCGTCACAGAGCAAAACCTGGCAGACCGAGTTCGGTATATCTTGCGCTCAAATATATTTGATGTCGCCGAACTCGAACGGCTACGACGTGAGGCTGTTCCCTCGTCGGATGAGAATGCTACGGCTGAGGATGCGGCGCCACAAATGGTAGAGCAACCCGCAAACGTGGATGCCGCCGTGAATACCCCAGTTGTGGTTGATTCAAACGATGATGGAACAGTCGCCCAGGAACTGGAATTAGAGCATATGAGGAGTATATTGGAAGAGGCGATTGTGGAAACGCGCAGTACGCCTCTCGAAAATCGACCGCGACTTCCCCGCATAGCCCTAAGCAAGCGGAATCGGGCTGTCGTGAGGGCTCTGAACCCAATGCTGGTTACCTATTTGGAAGCCAGCCGGGACCTTTGCGAGACGGACTCAATTCTTTTTGGCGCCGCGCTGGCAGTCTGCCGTATCATAGGCGCCAAGGTTTCCACGGCTGGACGCGCTACTGGCCATAGTAGCGCTATCCCAGCATGGAGAAGAAGAATTGAGGAACGTATCGCAAAGGCTAGAGCTCTCATCGGCAGACTGATATGCTTCAGATCAGGCAACAACAGGCCAAGAATTGTGCGCACCGTCAGGATGGCGTTTGCTGGGACAAATGTCAGTTTGTCCCAGCCGGATATAACGCAAAAACTGACGGAGCGCATAGATGATCTGAAGCAGAGAATCGCTGCTTGGGGAAAGCGGATTCGGCGATATACCGAGAGGTCGACACGGTTCAACCAGAATCGTCTCTTCCAGAGTGATCAGAAGAGGCTCTATGAATCATTGGAGCGACCAATGGTAAGTGGAACGGGTCCAGCACCGAATCAGGCCGACACTGTAGCATTCTGGCGCGGCCTGTGGTCAGAGCCCGTAAACCACAGCGAGGGCCCTTGGACGGAAGTTGTGGCGAGTCAGTGTGCGGGTATTACGCCCATGGACCCCGTCATCATAACGCCGGATGACGTAGCTGAGGCGGTTCGTAGGGCCCCGAACTGGAAAAGTCCGGGGCTTGACGGGCTGCATCACTACTGGCTGAAGGGGTTCATGGTGTGTCACTCTGTGCTCGCCCGACAGTTTCAAGAGGCTCTCAACCAGAAGTCGCTCCCAAGCCTCTTCACTACTGGGATCACTCATTTAGTTCCTAAAGACCAGGGTACCACAGACCCGAGCAAATACCGCCCCATCACGTGTCTACCGACCATATACAAGACACTAACATCCATTTTGAGCGCGAGAATCACTTGTCACCTGGACTCAAATCAGGTGATGTCGCGCGCTCAAAATGGATGTCGGGGCGGTGGTCGTGGAACCAAGGAACCACTCCTCATTGACGCGGTCATTGGCAAAGTGGTGAAACGCAACCGTCGGAACTTCTCCGCCGCCTGGATAGACTACAGAAAGGCATTCGACTCGGTGCCCCATACATGGCTAAAGAGAGTCCTCGAGCTGTACAAGATAGACTGTACAGTTAGAGACTTCCTCGAGCAGTGTATGGGGCAGTGGAGTACGATCCTTTGTCATCTAGGCGAGCGGATGATGGCTGCGGAGAACCACATAAGGATAAGAAGGGGTATCTTCCAGGGCGATTGTCTGAGTCCAATCTGGTTCTGCCTCTCTCTGAACCCTCTCAGTACCTTACTGGAGGGCTCCGGGAGGGGATTTCAGCTACGGAAAGGAGGGACAAAAGTGACCCACCTTTTCTATATGGATGACCTCAAGTTATTCGCCTCCAGTCGCTCCCATCTTATGGAATTGCTAGACATCACTTGTGAATTTAGCGATTCCATTGGAATGGAGCTGGGGACGGATAAGTGTGCGGTCCTCCATGTTGAAAGGGGAAGGGTTGCTAACTCTGAGGGCGTAGACTTATCTATGCCCGTCAACTTAAGGACCCTTTCCGAGGCTGAAACATACCGATACCTGGGTATGTCACAAAACATCGGTATCGATGAGACTGGTATGAAACAGTCAGTTTGCGACGTGTTTTATGCACGCTTGACCAAAGTGCTTAACAGCCTTTTGTCCGGTGTGAATAAGGCACACGCATATAACGGCTGGGTCATGCCTGTCCTCATGTATACCTTTGGCATACTCAGGTGGACTCAGACTGAACTTAACGCCCTGGATAGAAAAGTCCGCACTACAATGACGTCCCATAGGATGCATCATCCGAGATCGTCGGTAATGAGGCTGTACTTGCCGCGGAAGCATGGTGGTCGTGGCTTCTTGAGCGCGCTCACCATGCATAATCGCGAAGTGTGCAGCCTCCGTGATTACTTCCTGGCGAGATCGGATGATCCATTCTATAAGGACGTCATTTCTTGTGATAAAGGACTTACCCCTCTATCCTTAGCCAACGAGCAATGGCAAGACCCGGCAGTGCAGAGCATTTCCGACCGGGAGACCGTATGGAAGGAGAAGGAGCTCCACGGGAGGTTCTACAAGGCTCTACATGAGCCTTTCGTAGACACAGTAGCCTCCCTCCACTGGCTACGCTTTGGTGATCTCTTCGGGGGAAACCGAGGGTTTTGTCTGTGCAATACAGGATCAGGTTATTAAGACCAACAACTATCGGAGATACATCCTAAAGGATGGCACCGTCGACATCTGTCGAGCTTGTCGCCATCCCGGTGAGTCACTTAGGCATGTTATCTCCGGTTGTTCGGCGCTTTCTAACTCTGAGTATTTGCACAGGCACAACCTAGTAGCCAGAATTCTACACCAGGAGCTCGCTCTGAAATACGGTCTCGTGGATCGGAAATTGCCGTATTACAAGTACTTGCCGGAAGCCGTGCTCGAAAATGATCGCGCCAGGCTCTATTGGGACCGGGCCATCATCACAGACAGGACTATTCTTGCGAATAAGCCTGATATTGTGCTGATGGACCGGGCACAGTCAAGGATATTTTTGGTCGACATTACCATTCCGTATGACGAGAACCTCGTGAAAGCCGAAACAGACAAGCAAACAAAATATCTGGACCTGGCTCACGAGGTGACCGACATGTGGGGTGGTCTGCCGACCGAAATTATTCCTGTAGTCGTCTCTGCAAACGGGCTAATCCCAGTCAGCCTCTCGGGTCATCTGAGGCGGCTGGGACTACGTGGCGGACCGCTCCAGGTTCAAATGCAGAAGGCGGTGCTCCTCGATACCGCCCGCATCGTCCGCCGGTTTCTTTCCCTTTCCCCCTAACCCTCGGCCGTTTGGTCTCCCCTGCCGAGGGCCTCCATCTGGTTGGGCTTTTATTTATTTATGTACTTTTATATTTATTTTATGTTATTGATATTTATGTATATTTGTCTTTTCATTTTCATTTATAATTATATATTTATGGCACCCAACCAGATGAGAAAACTATATAGATACCCCAAAATAATAATAATAATTTATGCTCCCATCTGGTTGGATCTTATTTATTTATGTAGTTTTTGTATTTATTTTATTTTATTGATATTTATGTACATATATTTATCTTTTCATTTTCATTTTCGTTTATAATTATATATTTATACATCCCAACCAGATGAGAAAACTATATAGATACCCCACATAATAATAATGTCATCCAGACCGAATTTCGGTCACGGCGGCCAGCCTCAACGGAGACTAGCTATCGGCGCAGGTCAGGATTATAGTGCCTAAGTGTATGCGTAAGCACAGGTGCACTCTCTATTCCATCACTCTCATATTCCGATGGGACGGTAAACCGACACGACCGGAGAGAGTGATATACCGCCAACTTCCTGATTCCGGGCAGCTATTGAGAGTTTCTTGACGGAAAAACTCAATAATAAATTTTTTCGCCCGACCCGAGATTCGAACCCAGGACCTCATGATCAGTAGTCGCGCCACTACAACCACTAGACCAGCGAGGCAGTATATACAATAAACCCTAGATTAAAGTATACAAAACAAAAGTTATGCAAAACAGAAGAATTATGTAAGCATTTACTTTTGTTTTGTAAAAGAACTATTTTAAGCGTAGTTTAGCTACCAATTAACTCGGATACAACAAACCTTGCTTAGCAACTTGGGCATTGTTCATAAACAAAATAAACTTGGCTTGCCGACCTTCTTGAGTTCCACAAAAGGCAGTATAATAACATAGCGCGAAATATTATTGACTGAGTTCTTAATCCTTACAAATACCAATTTTGTGACTAACGTGTAAATTTCGATTACGAAATCGAAGAAACACGAAAATGTGAAAATAAAAAAATGTCTATCTATCTCTACATCATCTTCATTATCATCATTACAGCCTTTTACAAGTCCAGTGCTGAACATAGAACTCCACCAAGGAATGCCACAAAGTACAGTCCCGAGCCACCTGCATCCTTTGACTCCCTGCATGTCTTACCAGGTCATTCCATCTAGTGGGGGGTCGCCCTACAATTTGCTTACCGGTACGAGGCTGTCACTCGAGAAAAAACTGTCCATACTGTAGTAATAATTTTATATAATTACACATTAAAAAAAAAATTAAATGCAATGTGTACTCATAAGGCTTCTTCGATGTAACAATATATCTTTTCACTGTTAATCTATCTTATTTTGATTGTTAATACATTATTTTGTTTCGATTGAGTAATTTTAACTTAAAAGTAGAAGGGTACTTGTACTTTGGCCAAGTAAACTTTCAAATATAAGCAAAAAAAAAAACTTTTCCTCCATCCTTGTTAATTCGTTTTAAGAATATTTACAATTTGTTCTAATAAAGCACATTTATAATTTTAACTCTCAATAAATTATTCGCCTCCGTTTTAGACGTGCATATCAGGCATAAAAACGGTTGAAAGTTCTTCTAATATGTTAGTTTATGTCCAACTTCAAGTAAATTGAACATTTTGTTGTACCGCGACCACCTTATCATAGGTTTCTAAAATGGACTATCCGAGCATGTGAAGAATTATACATGTCCTAAATTGGACTGTGCTCGATCCAGTCGACCCAAACGTCGCAAGCACATCACACAATAACACTACACTCACACAAAATAGGACAAAACAAACACTGTTAGAATTACGAATGGGGCGCGTCGCACCCGTAGACGGGCACGACGTGTTCCAGCACACACCGCGTACACACCGTACACCCGCGTTACTGGGCGATTCTCACCGCCCAGACCATCGACAGACACGAGCTGAGCAGTCAGAGACGGAGGTCCGCACTCGCTCCCCCCCCCCCCCTCTGACAGCGGTTAGATAGCTCAATAACGCCAAAAAAGGCGACGTGATGATTGGTAACAATACCAAATCACAAACAATTTCATCATCATCCTCACGTCATTGCCTTTTCCTTTTTTAATTAGCTCGCGGCCTTGCAGGCCGTGAGCCCTGAGTTAGATGAAGCTGTAAGAGTCGCATAGACTAACAGCAATAACATCCAGAAAATAGAGAATGGACTGTTCGAGCATGTGAAGAATTAAGTTCTTAACTGCTTACGATCCGTTCTACAGTGCGAAAAAGCTGGTTCAAAAACGTACAAAAGTTCTATCAAAGAACGTCAGAATATTAAAGTTTTATTGGTCTGAGCAGAGAACGAAATGTTTCTTGAATATAGCCAAGAAACATTTCGTTCTCTGCTCTAAATATATATAATATATTAAAATATTGGTAATTTCTTGTAATTTTTCCTTGTGTTCTGTAATTATAATGGTACTAGCCATAATACTATATTTGTAATATTTTAGATACGACTACAAAGCCCGCGTTCGAGCTGAAAAACTGGTGGAGACAATTTACGATTTCACCAAAGACATTCGTCGTCTTAAAGTCGCACCTACAGATGCCGTGGATGCTTTGAAACATGAGATGGCGAGATTAAAGATCGTGAAAACTCACTTTGAGTTCGACGAATTCTTCTTGAAGTTCATGCCGAAAGAGATCCGCATAAAGGTCAGTTAGTAATAATAATATCGTTATCCAGACCGCATTTCGGTCACGGAGGCCAGTCTCAAGCACATGTGCACTTTCTTTTTCTCTCGCATCGACTCGCATAGTCAGTCAGCATACCTTTGCGTGGTAGAGTTACACTGCAGCTATGTTATGGTTGTAGCACAAATGGGCCAGCTCAATCGGGGTAAGACCACGCGCTCTCAGAATACCAGCTTAATGCTGCTGTGTTTCGTATGGTGTAGTGTAGAGATCCGAAAACCCTCTTTACTGGAAACGAGGCATCACATCTTAGTCCTCAGGGTGACAACGCATCTGCATTTTCATTCTTAAATGAAGATACGTGTAGATGTCTATGAGCCACAGCATCCATGACCATCAGGTTGTTGAATAAGGGTACAAACACATACGCTCGTTTGTCACCCTTATTTTATATAAAAAAAGATTGGACGGCAAGCCGACACGACCGGAGAGAGATCAGGCGCATTACGAACGGCTTTATGTGCCTTCCGGGGCATGGGGATGGAACACCGCAAACTTCCGGACTCCGAGCTACGACTGAGGATATGTTGACAGGAGAACTCAATAAATGATTTTCATTAGCCGGATCCAGGATTCGAACCGGAAACCGATCGAATAGTAGTCGCGTTTACGATCACTAACCAACGTAGCATTCAATAGGTAAAAGGTCAGAAACTTATCTATTTCTACTTGATGTATAGTGAAAGTTATTTAAGCTATACCACTGGTGGGAAAAATCTTTGTCCTAGGAGGAAAAAGCAGCACCCAGCGGGACTTTAAAAAAAAGTTACAATTTAAACTTTAATATATATATATATATATATATATATATATATATATTTAAATTACGTGTCACGTTGTTTGTCCTCGATGGACTCCTAAACTACTTAACCGATTTTAATCAAAGCACACCGTGTGCAGTTAAGCTCAACTTGAGAGATAGGATAGTTTTTGCACAGGCTTGCGGATGTAGCTATAAGGGGTACTCGCATTGATTTATTTAAAGACGTATCTTAATGATCGCAAATAGAAAGTAAAGATAAGTGAATACTTAAGCGATAAATCAGATATAACATTCGGAGCTTCACAGGGCAGTGTCCTGGGTCCTACTTTGTTTTTAATCTACATAAATAATCTAACCAATATGTCATATCGAATGACGTGCAGTTTTGTGGTCATTTGAAAGAGAAGGCCAAATTGGCCTCTTAAAAGCTTGGTGTGCTGCGCAGAGCGGGACAGTATTTCATGCCGGCATACCGCCTGCAACTTTACAAGGCGCGGGTTCGGCCGCACATGGAATACTGTTCCCATCTCTGGGCTGGAGCTCCCCAGTACCAGCTCCTTCCACTTGATCGCATCCAGCGCAGAGCCGCTCGAATCGTCGACGACCTAGTGCTTTCCGATCGGCTCGATTCACTGGCGCTGCGAAAAGATGTTGCATCTCTTGGCATTTTCTTTCGCATATATCATGGGGAGTGCTCTGAGTTATTGTTCGGATTAATCCCAGCCGCCAAATTTCGTGAACGCACTACGCGGCAAACGTCCCGATACCATCCACACCATCTGGATGCTTGGCGGTCCACCACTGTACGTTTCACAAGGAGTTTTCTTCCGTGTACGACCTCTCTGTGGAATAGTTTACCACCGGCGATTTTGCCGAACCGATACGACTAGGGATCTTCAAGAAAAGAGCTTACTCCTTTCTAAAGGGCCGGCAACGCACCTGCAATTACTCTGGTGTTGCGGTTGATCATGGACGGCGGTAGTCACTTAACATCAGGTGAGCCGCATGCTCGTTTGCCCCCTCTTCTATAAAAAAAATAAAGTCCGATTGCCGGTGCGGCCTTAATGCCGGTGGGGAATGCATGCTGTGTGCGTAAGGACAGGTGACACCGGTGCGAATGATATGCCGACGTGTAATGCATGCCGTACTACGCACTGGCAAGTGATGCCGGTGAGAACGATGTGCCGGAGCAAGTGCCAGCAGTCTGCTTTATAAATCTGCAGTGAGTCGAGATGAAGACAAGTTGGACTGGCTTGCAGTAACTGAAGACTGCAGAAGACGATTCTCAGTAGTTAATGGTAGGGGTTCTTGAGGGTAATGATGAAGGCTTGAAGTTTTAGTTTCCGAAGGTTGTTGGTTGCGGGTTCAGATCACGTCGGATGGTCACCACTGTGGCCTGGAAGGAAAATGGGAGGTCTCCCGCCGGGCAAGGTGTTCTGTCCGGGGAGCGACCAGCGCTCAGTGTGATAGCTCGGAGCTGTTCTATATACTGTTTATGATTCAGAACTTTGATAGCGCGATTTAGGCTTCGGTGTTTTTCGCTTGTGGCGCAACAACAGCGCCGCCACATAGTCCTTATAGCAGAATCGCTGGAGGACCTAAGCACTATGCTCAATGACCTCAAAAGGGTCTCCCAACAGATAGGTCTTATGATGAACATGGACAAAACAAAGATCATGTTTAATGTCCATGTCACACTGATGCCGGTAGTTGTTGAGGAGTACGTTTACCCGGGATAAATAATCCGACTAGGTAGGTCCAACTCGGCTAGGCAGCGTTCGGGAAATTAGACACATCTTCTCGTCAGTTATACCTCAAAACCTGAAAACTAGATTGAACAACCAGTGCGTGTTGCCATTGATGACTTATGGATCTTAGACGTGGTCCTTCATTACACTTGAGGACGCTCAAGGTCGCTCAGCGAGCTATGGAGAGGGATATGCTCGGGATTTCTTTGCGTGATAAACTTAGAAATGAGGACATCCGCAGTAGAACCGGAGTTACAGACATAACCCAACGGATTAGTAAGCTGAAGTGGCAATAGGCTGACCATATACCACGAAGAACCGACAACCGATGGGGAAAATAGGTTCTCGAGTGGCGGTCTCGTACCGGTAGGCGTAGTGTAGGGCGACCCCCCACAAGACGGAGTGATGACCTTGTAAGACATGCAGGAAGTCGATGGATGCAAGTGGCTCAGGACCGTGCTTTGTGGCATTTTTTGGGGGAGGCCTATGTTCAGCAGTGGACTTGTGAAGGGCTGTAATGATGATGATAATAATGAGTGGTATATCCTTTCTTGCATTATTGAAACACCCTCCCTATTTGTAAGATTCTTATGTCCCGCAATAATTTATGGACTGACTTTATATTCTTAGGACATATTTCAACGCATATTTATAAGTATAATATTCATTGATCAACATAATTAAATTTCTCTTACAGGTGGTACCTGACGTAGCGAATCAAATTCCAGTGCCGAAACATGGAATCTACTCAGATATCATTCGATAAAATACGTGGGTTTTTTAAATGTAATTGTGTTATTTTATGAATGTAATTGTGTTATCTTTTGTTTGACGTTATAAAATTATGTATTGAATTAAATTTTAAGTATTAAATATTTTTATGTAAGACTTTTTCATTTGTTATCCATTGAAATGAATCTATAGACATAGCAAAACTCTGTCCTAAGCTGTGACAATACTGATCGTACATTACAGCTCAGAATTATATCATACATGCGAGCACAGGAAGATATGGGATTGTGGATTCTCTTACGCTGGTAATACAGGACAATATTGAATTAAATACATAAACAATCACCCTGAGGGATAGGCAGAGACTACTGAGTTTATATTCATATACCTACGCATCCATGCTTGTGACATATACATTATTTAAATAATATAAATAAAATAGCACTTGTTGGTACGCTGGGAGGTATTAGTATGTGCTTCATAAAATGTGATTTGTTACTTGAAAGAAAATCTTGATAAACTATTGACAGTTAATCATAAGTGGGAACATTTCGAAATTGTTGACTGACTTGGGTTTTTATTATGTGAAAGTAGATTTTAGAAATATGAAAAAATTTGAGAGTTTAGAGAAATATGTGCCAACTCGTTGGTTATGGTTACTTCCTGCCATAGACAGAACTCTATCGCTGTGACCAGCTTTAATTGGATATTTCAAAGAGCAAGATTGTGCCAATGATGTGGAAACAAATGCACTCTTATGTATTCTTTATTTTATGCAAAATATAATGCAAATCTTTCAGAACGTCATTAAATTACTGGAATCTGACAGTGTAACAATTAAGTCCGCCCTTTATATACCTTAGTGTGGTGTATAATAAAGGTTAAATAAATAAAAAATAACAAGCACTGAAATTCAAGACATATTGACTGATCTGAAAACGAAGCTATAAAACGGACTTGCTGATCAATTTTAAGGTAAATCAGCCATATCAATAACCTTTTTACGTGTTGTTTGATATATTTATAATATTGTATAACTTTGAAGATCCGAAATACCTACCAAGCAAAGAAAATTTTACCTCTAAACGTATCAAACACATGGGCAGGCATTACTAGACTCCAGGAATTATTAGATATTGACTTAGATAGTGACAAACTGTACGATGAGGTTGGACTTTTGAGTGAGATGCAATCATAGAATACAATAATATATAGATGCAACCGCAACTCATTGAAGAAAATCGAGTGGATTTACGCTCGAAAGACAGAAATTCCTGTCCTGAATAGAAAAAATGGTCACATTTGTTCTTTCCATTCCTGTCTCTAATGCTTCTTGTGAGCGCGTATTCAGCATGACTGAGCAAGCATGGAGCAAGGAAAGAAAGCGAATGAGTATTTCTTTAGTAAAAGCAAAAGTTACAAGTACACACAAACTTCGATTTTTCATGTAAAACTTTACAATTTTGTAGTCAAAAATCGACAAATATATGATGTTGCTTTTAAAGCAAAGTAAATATAAATTTAAAATTTAATAAATGATGGGAACCTCAAACCCCCCTCTACTCGATTTCATTAAATTCTCCTGGGTAGGTCCTTTCGAGAGTATACTGTTTATCTTAAATAGTTCTAAATGAAAGTTCGCGACAGTATATCTACCTTTTATGTGGAAGCCATTATATTCAAAATAGTGAGGCATAAATACAATTAAATTGGATACTTTTTTTACAGTGCACATTTTAGAGATTTATCAAATTCTTATCAAAACTTATTCATTTGTCGCTTTCAGTATTTAATGTAAGTAGATGAACTTACTTCTTTTTTCGTATTTTACACAAAGTAATTTGGACGAATAGTTTAAAAGTTATCATGATAAGATTGACATGAATGGAGCTCCAGCGCAAAGCGGGGGTGGAAGGGCAGTCCAAGCACGGACTGGTGCGTGCTCGCTGAGTGCGCGACCCTAACGCGGGCAGACGCATTGAAGATATATTTTATAAGGCAGACAGACGCCAACTGGTTTAATACTCAAAGGTGAGGACAGACGTCGTTGATGGTTGTGTTCAATTTGCGTCCATTCTTATAGCTAATTCGATTCTCGAAGAGATTTATTAGTTAGTAGGTAAGCGCAATTATTATTTTTAGTTAGTATACCTATTTTAAGTAATTTTTTTATAAGAGAGGGGGCAAACTAACATAAGGCTCACCTGATGGTAAGTGGTTACCGCCGCCCATGAACAGCTGCAACACCAGGGGGATTGCAGATGCGTTGCCGGCCTTTTAAAAAGGGGTAGGCTCTTCTCTTGAAGGTCCCTAAGTCGTATCGGTCCGAAAAAATCTCTGGTGGGTAGTTGATTCCACAAGAAAGTTGTGCGAGTAAGAAAACTTCTTTTAAATCGCTTAGTGGTGGACCACCAGTCATCCAGATGGTATGGATGGTATCGCGAGTTCTGTCACGATTTGCGACGGTGAAACTGTGCGGCTGGAATTAGTTCGAGCAATTCCTCAGAGCACTCCCCGTGGTAGATGCGATAAAATACGCAAAGAGATGCAACATCTCTTCGCAGTGCCAGTGAGTGAAGCCGATTGGAAAGAGCTCGGTCACCGACGATTCGAACTGCTTTGCGCTGGATATGATCAAATGAAAGGAGCTGGCAGAAGCCCCGGCCCAGAGATGGGAACAGTATTCTATGTGCGGCCGAACCTGCGGCTTGTAAAGTTGCAGGCGATGAGCCGGCATGAAATACTGTCCCGCTCTGCTAAGCACGCCAAGCTCTTGAGAGACCAATATGGCCTTTTTTTCCAAGTCACCACGAAACTGCACGCCACTCGATATGTCGACGCCGAGGATTCCGATACTGGCTGAGGCAACAAGGGGGGTGCCTTGAAACTAAGGAGATACGACGAAGGGGTTCTTTTTAGCGGTAAACGCGCAAACTTGTGTCTTCTGGGGATTAAACTGAACTAGATTTAGTCGCCCCCAGTCCAAGATTTTGTTCAACAAAGTCTCGACTTCAGACACAAGTTTGTCCCGGTACTCGGCGACGTTTTCCCGAGAAATATTGGCTCGGCCGGTGTATAAAGCATCACCAGTGCTGTCGTCTGCATAGCAATGAATGCTACCGATTTGCAACATGTCATTGATATGCAGAAGAAACAGCGTTGGTGATACCACGCAGCCTTGTGGAACACCAGCGTTAATGGGCTTGTAATCGGAGCATGCACCGTCTACTACGACCTTGGTGCTCCGATCAGCAAGAAAACTGGTGATCCAATTGCGGGAAGCCCATGGGAAGGAAGCGTCGTAAGAAGCGCTTGGTGCCAAACCCGATCGAAGGCCTTCGCTACCTTTGACTCTACTGCCTTGCCCATTTATGAGTTAGGTAACCTAGAAGATCACCAGCCAAGCGACCGCGACGGAAACCGTACTGGCGGTCACTAATCAGCTGGTTATCCTCAAGGTACCGCATGAGCTGGCTGTTAATAATAGATTCCATTATTTTAGAGAACAAGGAGGTGATGGCGATAGGCCTATAGTTGGACGGATCATAGCGATTACCTTTTTTAGGAATCGGATGTACGAAGTCTGTCTTCCATGATTTCGGGACTACGCTCAGGGAGTAGGAGTACCGGAAAAGATGCGTTAAGACCGGTGCCAACTCAGGAGCACACGTCTTCAGCACAATAGAAGGGACTCCATCAGGCCCACTCGACTTGTTGATGTCTAGGGAGAGGAGTGCTCTGCACACTGAGTGTTGGGTAAACAGCACATCCACATCCTGTATGGAGCACTCACACCGCGGGATGGTCGGTGGTATGTTCCCCCCGTCATCAAGAGTCGAGTTGGACGCAGAGAGCCCATTAGGTCGGCTTTGTCCTTTGCGGCATGGGCCAGTGAGTCATCCTCCCTGTGCAGAGATGGAAGAGATGGCTGGCAGAAGTTCCCTTGGACAGCCTTTGCGAGAGACCAGAACACAGGTGTTCCCGAAGGAAGGCGAACTAATTTCTCGCCAATTCTTACGATGTAATGCAATTTTGCAGTAGCGACCAAAGCAAGGCTGGGTTCTGCCTCCGAAAGGTACTTCAGATGATGGAATAAAAAGTTCCATTCCCTGTAGCACTACATCAGCGACAGAATCAGCAACAACGCTGAGATCAGCGAGAAGCAAACCCACCTCCAAGGGTAGGATGCAAAAAAAGATCGCAGCCCGTCCCAATCGGCCGACCTATAATGCCAAACACGGCGGCAACCTGAAGTACGCAACCGCGGAGCGTTGGGAGCGTGAGTGGCCCGCACTCCGGATAAGACAATAGTCCGAGGAGCCAAGAGGGACACCGACGGAGACCTGATATCCGTCCGGATAAGAAGTCACCAGATGGTCCAACAGGGAAGGTACATGATACTTATGCCAAAGCAAAGTCATAAACAGATCTACCCGCATGATCGTTTTTCGGTCGATTCAGCATAGTGGGCGTTAAAATCAACAAGTATCACGATCTCTGTAGATGGGACCTGTTGTAGAACGGAGTTTGAAGCAATCGGGACGTAGTCGAGACGCGGGAATGGCTACAAGGCTGCCGAGGCGTCGAAAACAGATATCAGAGTAAACGCAAACTGCCCAGGCACAAAGGAGTGTTCTGATCTGTACCCGGGGTAGGATATGAAGTGTCAGCCGGAGAGGACACCTGTTTTTCGGTTAGAAAGAGCAAGGCCGGCTCAGTCTCGAGCGGAATTTCGCCTCCCCCCCCCCCCCCAGAATACGAGGAACAGCCTGAGCACCCACGCTTAGGAAGAGTAGGGGAGTTTGGGCGTGGATGCTCAGCGAGGGATTCTCCGTCACCGGGGGGTGCTGGTACCCTCCTGAGGTAGTGTTATATTTAACTCCGCTACCATGTTAAAGAAGAGGGGGGGGGGAATTGGGCCTCCGGCCATCTGCACTACCAGACGAAATGCAGAAGCAAAGCTTCTATTTCACGCCGGTCTTCTGTGAGATCGTGGTACCACCCCGGTTAAGCTGGCCCATACGTGTAACAGCAAAAGCTGCGTGGTTCTACCACTGTTAATAAATTAAGATTACTTTTTATTTCAGTCGTATTAGAATTGTTTTATTTTTGATTGTAGGATAGTAGTTTTAGTTATGGTTGCGCCAACACACACATTCGCATTTGTATTAGTTAGATAGATTAGCCGGCAATGACCTCCCTTCTCATTCGTTCCTTCGCGCACGGGCATGTCTACGGGGGGGGGGGGGGCTATATTAATGGCTTTATTTTGTTCGTTCAATGGAAGGCGCGCTCGCAAAAAGTGAAAGGACGTGCGCTGTCATCGTCGAGCAGTGCAAACAGCTTCATCGTGCCATATTTGTGATACTTCGATTCGAATTTTAATTAAAAACCAGTAGCTCAACCATTTGTGGTCCATTCGTTCCGGATTTGAATTGGCAACCTAATATATTTTTATTTACATAGGTATATTCTTCTTTATTTTCATTAGATTATTATAATTTTGTTAGATTAAGAATAACGGTTAGTTTAGGTATAAATTAGCTATTGGAATTGTTTTAGATATTTGTTTGTAAATTACTACCATTATAAAAAAAGCAACAAAATCGTTGTTTTTTTTTATTCGTACTTACAATAATGCCGCGAAAGCGTAAGCCTAATATTTCGCAAAGCTCTAATAAAACCCGAGCTATGAAAATAGATAGACGTAATGAGACGTCCCAACAAGCCGAGTTGCGGAGGCTTGAGAAGGCGGTGCGTGTGGCTGCAAATAGAGCTGCGGGACACAAAAACAGGCCCAAGAGTGGCGCCAACAGTATGCTGAGGATCTGCCATCTCAACGAGCTGCTGAAACTTCAGAACAGTCCCAAGCTCGACGCTGAGTATCTGATGCTGCAGAGTCACAAGACGCGTGAACAGTCACAAGCTCGACATCAGCAGCAGGCGTTTCACATGGCGTCCCAAAGAGCCACTGAAACATTTGAAGCAGCTAAATCTCGCAGACGCGCTGTTGCTGAAATGGCTGCACAACGACGTCAAACATTTACAAGTGTTTAGTAAATCTGCATTTGAATATTAGGACGAGACTCTTGATTATGAAACTCACAAGCTTATAAAAATAGAAGCAATGAGCATAGATTGCAAATATTGCGGAGATCTTAAGTGGAAAGAGGAAGCATGTGTTGCTCGGGCGGGAAAGTAGACAATTCTTCTATAGACGAGCCAATTAAACCTTTGAGAGAGCTTTTCTCTAATGAAACAGATGAGTCTCGCTGTTTTCTGAGAAGTAGTAGAAAATACAATATGTGCTTTCATATGACTTCTTTTGGAGAAGATAAAATTGTCTCAATTCCGGGGCCCTAAAAAGGCGACCGCTCAGATCCGTCAAACTACGGGCCTATTGCCATCACCTCCTTGTTCTCCAAAATAATTGAATCCATTATAAACTGCCAGCTTATGCGATACCTCGAGGATCACCAGCTGATTAGTGATCGCCAATACGGTTTTCGTCGGGGTCGATCAGCTGGTGATATTCTGGTCTACCTGAATCATAGATGGGCGGAGGCAGTAGAGTCCAAGGGGGAGGCATTTGCCGTTAGTTTGGACATTTTTTTTTTTGGCGTTGGCCTTTGATTGGGTTTAGCACAAAGCGATTCTTTCGAAGCTCCCTTCCTATGAGCTTCCCGAGAAATTGTGCAACTAGATCACCAGCTTTCTTCCAGATCGGAGCATCAAGGTCGTTGTAGACGCTGCATGTTCCGATTATAAGCCTATTATACTGGCGTTCCACAAAGCTGCGTGCTATTGCCAATGCTGTATATAAATTATATGTTGCAAACCGGTAACATTAATTGCTAACACCGGCCATGCCAATATTTTTCGAGAAAATGCATCATACCAATTAACAACAACACCATAACACAACAACCATAATTACAACAACAACAACCATAGTTACATATATACATAGTAAGGACTACTACTCTCCATATTACATAAATATTCTGGCATCTAAAAGTATGTCACCTGCCCACACCTTTTCTACCCATGGCAAAACGTGTCTAGATCACGTCATATTGAAAACAAAACTTCGGTCAACCTGCTACGTTGCGGAGACTTACATTACTGATCATGATACTCTTATATTTCTATTAGAGGCTACTTTGAATACACTTAGTTTGCCACCAAAAATTAGAGAACGTGTAAATTATGATAATTTAGATAAGTTACCTTTCCACTTTAGACTTTAAAAGTATTTATTATATGGTAGATGTTGACTTAGCAGCTACATTGCTATTAGAATCCCTAAGTAATGCTTTAAAAATTAATACTAAAACAATTAAAGTTTCTAATCGCAAAATTATTAAAAAGCCCTGGATTACTTACCCCAGGTATTTTGAGATGCTTAAGAAATCGCGACAAATTACACCAAAAATGTAAAAAAAATATCCGCATGATGACGTAATCGTAACTACATACAAACGTTACCGTAATTATTGTAATGAATTACTTAAAACACTGAAAAAAGAATATGAAAAATCAGAATTAACAGCAGCAGTCAAAACATGCAATAAAAAACTTTGGAACACAATTAAAACAGTCATATATTAGATATATATTTACAGATATATTATTAACAAATCTGACCCTAAAACTTCAGTTATTTATGTTAATTAATTTTTTGTAAATATAGGTAAATCTTTGGCTGAAAAACACCACGTTAATAACAACACTCGTAGCATTTTTCCTACAAACATATATCAACACTCGGCGGCGGTACTTATTGACACAGACGAACATGAAATAGAGACAATTATTTTAATTATGAAATCTGATTGTAGCGTAGGTAGAGATAATATTTCTAATTTCTTTCTAAAAAGGTATAGAAATTTACTAGTCCCTCCCATTACATATATATGTAACCTTTCCCTTAAAACTGGTAAATTCCCCAAGTGTTTCAAACTAGCTGAAATTCGCCCTATTTACAAGAGCGGTGATGCAGGCTGTGTCAATAACTATACCATCACCCCATTTCCATTCTTCCCAATATGTCAAAAATTCTAGAAAAAGTAATCAACAAGCTTTTGACTAATTACTTAGAGAAAAATGATCTGCTATCACATTGCCAATATGGTTTTCGACCAAAACGTTCTACTCAGGATGTAAGTTCATGAACTAACAGATTTCGTTGTTACAAACCTTGACCGTAAAAAGAAAGTAGTTGTAATATTTCTTAATCTAGTTAAAGCATTTAACACAGTTTACGTCCCGCTCTTGTTCAATAGGCTGGAAGATCTTGGAATAAGAAATACACAGCTGAAACTTTTCTCTGTCTACTTCACGGATCAATATCAGAGGGTAAGGATTGGTGGTTGCTACAGTGATGACCTTTCCATATCATATAGTGTACCACAGGGTAGTATGCTTGGTCCCACGCTATTTCTTACATATATTACTACACTATGTAATCTAAAAATTCACATTGGGAGGATCATTGCCTTTGCGGATGACACGGCTCTTCTTTTCCAGGCAGGTCTGAAGTATTTAAATTCGCACAAAATGGGTTTGATTTAATACTAAATGGCTAAAAGAATCTAAACTTACATTAAATGTCGATATAACAAAATACATAACATTTACTACCCAAAACATCAATGTATCTGAGTTGGAATACTTCCACATTACAGCTCACTGCTGCTCCCAAATTGAAAACCCTTGTTCATGTCCTACCCTCTCTAGAACGAATTGCATAAAATATCTTGGCGTAATGATAGATAACACCCTAAGCTTTCACTTTCATATTGCCCTCTTTAAGTACAAGGATACGTAAGTTAATTTATATTTTTAAAAATCTACGTCGTGTTGCAGATTTTAATGTAAGAAAAATGGTATATTTTGCACTGTGCCAATCATTGTTGACATATTGCATTACCATCTAGGGAGGGGCACCTAAAACGACCATATTGCGATTAGAAAGAGCTCAGAGGGCACTATTAAAAGTTAGCAATTCTCTTCCATTCCGTTGCCCTACAACTGACCTTTATCAACAGTGTAATATCTTATCTGTTCGTAAATTGTTTATATTGCACAATATGCTGCTATAACATTCTCTACAGTATGAGTACTCCTATAATAATGACAACAGAAGGAAATATGTATTTTGTCCCAGTAAGTTCCTAAAGATAATATTTTCGCATAAACATATCTGCTTCCTGGGAGGTTACCTTTACTCGTATAATAAATTAAATAAACTTTTATCAATTTACTCTCTACCAAAACATGCATGTAAACAAAAATTACAGAAGTGGTTGCTAAATATCGATTATATGGCTGCTAAACTTTTACTGAGAGTATTGTCCTAAAAACACATAACCCAACACAAACCCACGCGCACACAACAACACACACGTACACACACACACACACACGCACACACACACACACACACACACACACACACACACACACACACACACACACACACACACACACACACACACACACATATATATATATATATATATATATATATATATAAATAACTTAAAAAAACATATAGAATCTTTCCTTGCTGAAATATTTCTTATTCTTGTATTTCTCTTGTAGTATATTTGAAAATGTACACAGGGATTACCCTAGTATGGACACCAGTTTCTCACAAAGGTCGAAATTATCTACAACCGTATTATTTAAGAAATAAGTGATATTATATACCTTTGTGAAGAGAAAAATAAAATGATTTATTAATATAGGCATAGGGAAGTGACGACCCCATCACCCGCTGACGTAACAGTTATGTGACAAAACTTCTACGTCGGCGCAGTTAGTCAGCGCCCTGCCAAGAGGTGTGAGCGCCGTGCCTAGGCAAAATTGTGGGTACAAAGGTCCGTTTGTGTATATGACCCAACCACGAAACGGTGCCGGGCTTGGACGTCTCCCGTTATTTGGCACCCATAAAATGGATGATGGCACAGAGAGAAACGCGCATAGGGCCGCTGCCTGGGGGTCGCCGGATCGCGTCTGGAGCTGGCGCTGGACGCGGCAGCATGCGGGCCGCCAGCCAAGCGCGAGGAGCTGCACGATCACCTAGCAGCCCCGCGCATCCATCATCCCCACCAGAAGGCTTGGTGTCGGCTGGGTCTTCTCAGACTCAGCAAGCGTCACCCGCCGCTGGTGGTGCACGTCGCATGCGTTGGACAAAAGCTATGAACGAAAACGCATTGCGGGCGTACTATAGGGCGAAAGGGGGAAGAAACTTGGGAATAGCATGTAGGGCTCGGATGCATTGCTTTTTTGCTGAGGTGGAGCCGTCTATTTCCGTCACGGAACAAAACCTGGCAGATCGAGTTCCTTACATCATGCGCTCGAAAATATTTGATGATGCCGAACTCGAACGACTACGACGTGAGGCTATTCCATCATCGAATGAATCGGCTATGGCTATATACACGTGGAAGCCGCCATGGATCTTCCAGTTGTAGTTGATTCGAACGACGATGAAATAGTCTCCCACGAACTAGAGCAAATGAGGATCATATTGGATGAGGCGATTTTGGAAACGCGCAGCATCCCTCTAGAAAATCGACCGCGACTTCCCCGAATACCCCTAAGCAAGCGAAATCGGGCTGTCGTTAGGGCTCTTAACCCAATGCTGGTGACCTATTTGGAAGCCAACCGGGACCTTTGCGAGACGGATTCAATACTTTTTGGCGCCGCAGTGGCAGTTTTCCGTATTATTGGCGCCAATCTTCCCATGGCTGGACGCACCACTAGACAAAGTAGCGCCATCCCAGCCTGGAGAAAAAGAATCGAGGACATCGCAAAGGCAAGGGCCCTTATCGGCAGACTGACAAGTTTCAGGTCGGGTAATTATAGACCGAGGATTGTGCGCACCGTTAGGATGGCATTTGCTGGGACAAATATCAGTTTGTCCTAGCCTAATATCACGCAGAAACTAACTGAAGCAAAAGATCGCTGCTTGGGGGAAGCGGATTCGACGATTTACCGAGAGGTCAAGGCGGTTCAACCAGAATCGTCTCTTCCAGAGTGACCAGAAGAGGCACTATAAATCATTGGAGCGACCAGAGGTATATGGAGCGGGCCCAGGACCGGATCAGGCTGACATTATCGCATTCTGGCGTGGCCTGTGGTCAGAGCCCGTATACCACAGTGAGGGCCCTTGGATGGAAGTTGTGGCGAGCCAGGATGCGAGTGTTACGCCTATGGACCCCATCACCATAACGCCGGAAGACGTGGCTGAGGCGGTTCGTAGGGCCCCGAACTGGAAAAGTCCGGGGCTCGACGGGCTGCATCATTACTGGCTGAAGGGGTTCATAGTGTGTCACACTATGCTCGCCCGACAGTTTCAAGAGGCTCTCGACCAGAAGTCGCTCCCGAGCCTCTTCACTACTGGGATCACTCACTTGGTTCCTAAAGATCAGGATACCACAGACCCGCGCAAATACCGCCCCATCACGTGTCTACCCACCATATATAAGACACCAGAGAACAGAGAACACAGAAAGAACATGGCTAAAGAGGGTCCTCGAGCTGTACAAGATTGACTGTACATTTAGAGACTTCCTCGAGCAGTGTATGGGGCATTGGAGTACGATCCTTTGTCATCTGGCTGCGGAGAACCACATAAGGATAAGAAGGGGTATCTTCCAGGGCGATTGTCTGAGTGCAATCTGGTTCTGACTCTCTCTGAACCCTCTCAGTACCTTACTGGAGGGCTCCGGGAGGGGATTTCAGCTACAGAAAGGAGGGACAAAAGTGACCCACCTTTTCTATATGGATAATCTCAAGTTATTCGCCTCCAGTCGCTCCCATCTTATGGAATTGCTAAACATCACTTATGAATTTAGCAATTCCATTGGAATGGAGCTGGGGACGGATAAGTGTGCGGTCCTCCATGTTGAAAGGGGAAGGGTTGCTAACTCTGAGGGCATAGACTTGTCAATGCCCGTCAACTTAAGGACCCTTTCCGAGGCTGAAGCATACCGATACTTGGTCCGATGACATCGATGACACCGATGACATCGATACCGATGTCACAGAACATCGGCATCGGTGAGGCTGGTATGAAACAGTCAGTATAAGCTTACCACGAGTGGTTAAAGGGAATATTAGTAATGTTTATAGCATTGTTAATATTCTTTTTTGTTATAAAAAAAGAATAAAAAAAAGTTTGCGAATTACACTTATCCGCCAAAAACACCAACCACACCTTAGGGCTTACCCCTCTATCCTTAGCCAACGAGCAATGGCAGGACCCAGCAATGCTTAGCATTTCCGACCGGGAGACCGTATGGAAGGGGAAAGAGCTCCACGGGAAGTACTACAGGGCTCTACATGAGCCCTTCGTAGATATAATCGCCTCCCTCAACTGGCTACGTTTCGGTGACCTCTTCGGGGAAACCAAGGGTTTTGTCTGTGCAATACAGGATCAGATTATTAAGACCAACATCTATCGGAGACACATCCTAAAGGATGGCATCGTCGACGTCTGTCGAGCTTGTCGCCATCCCGGGAAGTCACTTAGGCATGTCATCTCCGGATGTTCGGCGCTTTCTAAATCTGAGTACATGCACAGGCACAACTAAGGTGATATTATATACTTTTGTGAAGAGAAAAATAAAATGATTTATTATTATTATTAACTTTTAATTTTTATGAGGCGAAGGGTTCTTGGCTACACGACATACCCATAGAACATACCTATTTTAACTTTCGTAATTTACAATCTTGTTACATTTAAGTTTTATATTTATAATAAAAAAAATATTACTTTTTTTTAAATAATTTTTTTATCGGATGGACGTGTAGTATGGCCCCCACGACAGCATATATGAGTTAAAGTAGAATTAGTTAAGAGTAGTATAATTAAAGTTTTAGTACCTACAACACGTCTTCTTTTCATTTAACACCTTTTCTACATTACATAGAAAAGGTTGTGTTAAAAATATAACGACCGGTTATAAAAATAAATATTTTTTAATATACCACGTCTTTTTTAAATATATTCGTACGTTATCATCCGATTCTGAGTTATGTTCAAAATTTTAATTCTCTAGCTCATCGGGAAGTTAGTTTTAAGTATTCATGTAGGTGTGTTGTCTCAACGAAATTACGAAATTCGAGAGACAAGAGGACACACGAATGAGTGTTAATAAAGACGTGATAATAACATCGAATTAACAAAGCGTTGTTACAAAAAAATAAACATACTTTTTGATTCTAGGACTTGTTTATTTCGAAAATAGTTGGATACAAATGTACACTTATGTTACAATACAATGGAGCACCATACACATAATAAAAATATTGCAATGCAAACATACAATAAGTTTTACAAACTGTAGGGTAAATATATTAAACAAATAAATAGAGAATTTATAGAATACCTAGGGTGAAAATAAAATATACACTGAACAGTTTGTAACACTTATGGTAACACACCATTACAATCATTGGGTTGCATTTATATTACTATAGAAAAGCAAAGCTTAGTCTTCATCTTGGAGAATTACAATTATTTGTATGAGTCATTACTTACCAAGTGGAACGAAAACTTAACGGGAATGAAATATGTGACATAATAAAAATCAATATGTCATTTAAATCTTCGCTATTAAACTTAACAATGTATTATGTCAGGCTTTCTCAAACTGGAGTTCGCTAATTTAAAGTAATTCATATTAACTAAATATTTAAAACATGTCAATATTTAAAATAGCAACAATAGCGAGTTATGTGTAAAAAGTTTTTACATTTGACGGATTTCAGACTAATAAAAGCGATGAGTGAGGTGACACATTTAACAAAATTATACTAATTTACATAAATTCTGTACACATCTTAAGACTAAGAGAAATATTTATTATATTGCAAAAAAAGTGCAGCTGCTATAATACGATAATATTAAACCTTGTGAGTTATTGTGACCAGTGAAAAATTGCACTGTCTTAATAAGATTACCGTGCAAGTATTGCGATGTAGCTCTCTCTATCAAGGAAATAAATCTGTAAATTAATTATTCTTGAACAAGTTAATATCATATTCTAATAGTTTTTAATCACAATGTTTATGTGTATTGTGTTAAGGCACAATAATTCTGCTAATGGGACGTTGAAATTAGGGTGATTAAATAGTCATTTGATACGTAAAAAAATATTAATAATGAAAAGAAAAAATATATAGTTCGATATTTAAAACAATCTAATAAAGTAAAATATGTCCAACAAGTAATACCAGAATTATCGTGTCTTATACATACAGGGTGGCCCAAAAGTCGTGGATCAAACGCAACTAGGGGTTAGATGGGATCATCAGCTGCAAAAAGTTGTTCTACGGGAGGTCCTTAAAGTCAACCCCTGCAGAGTTATAATTTATTTTGTGTTTTTATGAGAAAATTGACTTTTTTTAACTAATTCTTATTAAAATGCCAAAAAATAAACATCCTCTATCTTTTTTATAATTTTCACTAGATTGGTACTGATGAGTCCTTGCGTTAGACATGCCATTTATGGTTGTTTATTGGGTGTGTTGAAGATAATATTAAGTTTTACGATTTTTTTTTTCTCAAATCATAACTTTTTATTTACTTCGGACCCCACTGTGAAAAAAAAATACTCTACCGAAAAGTGACCCTGTATTACAAGTTTTGGCGCATTTAATAGGGATTCTGAAATGGTATTACACATGGCCATGAGTGGCTCTAATATCTTTCTAGGACGAAAAAACAAAGCAACGATTGTGAAATAATTGTTTTATTAAGCAAAACATTTTACAATAAATGCTCAAAATTCCTGCCTCTGACCATAATACATAATCTGCACCGTCTAATAAAATTCCTACGTAACCTACGGAATGCACTTCTGTTGTTAGTTACTTGTACTCTAGGAAACTCGAGCTTTTGTCGTAGTTCTTGTTCGCTATTGTTCTCTCCTTGGTAAACTATTTCTTTAAAATAGCCCCAAAGAAAAAAATCTAATGGATTTAAATCGGGCGACCGGGGTGGCCACGCAACATGTCCGCCTCGACCAATCCACCGGTTGGGGAAGCGCTCGTTCAAATGATCTCTGACTGCTCGAGCGTAGTGAGGCGGGGAGCCATCATGTTGCAGCCACATTTCTGCTATTCTTTCTTCTGGAACTTCAGCTTCGTTAAGAATATGGTTTAAATTATTTTGCAAAAAATTTAAATACTGAGCACCATTCAGCCTTGCTGGCATTTCATGCAGCACCAACTGCTGGCCAATTATACCAGCCCACATGTTAATACCAAACAGATTCTGGAATCGATCATTTCTTATGATATGGGGGTTTACTCTGGAGTAAAAATGTAGATTGTGGATATTGAATACTCCCATTCTTCTAAAAGTTGACTCATACGTCCATAAAACCTTGTTAAAGAACTGCGGATCTTCTCTGTGATATCTTAGCATCTCTCTACAAAACCGCATTCTAGGTTCATAGTCACCGGGCAGCAAAGCTTGCACCCTTTGCACGTGGTAGGCGTGATATTTTTTTCTGTTAATGACACGTTGCACCGTCGATCTTGGAATCCCGATATTACTGGATATTTGGCGTTGACTTATACTAGGATCCAATCTTAATTCTCTCAGCACTTCATCTTCATTTTCAAATTGCATCACTGGTCTGCCTGCTGTCATAGCATGCTGACCGGGTAAGACTCCCTCCATGTACGAATTATGTACGCGCATAAAGACCCTGTAATCCGGAAAACGATCACGGTTAGGGTAGCGTTGACGATATTCCCTGGCAGCAGCCCGGGCATTACCGTCGCAAAAGCCATACAGGTAATGCATTTCTGCATACTCCCGTTGGGTGTATTCTCTCCTCGCAGCAGCCATCTGTCCACTTTTGTAGCCAATCCGTCCGATTCACACAGCACTGGTCACAGGTAGGCAAT